GTATGTATGTAATGTATGTATGTATGTATGCATGCATGCATGTATGTATGTATGTATGTATGTCTGTAAGCATGCATGTATGTATGTATGTATGCATGTATGTATGTATGCATGTATGCATGTATGTGAGTATGTAAGTAAGTAAGTAAGTAAGTAAGTAAGCAAGCAAGCAAGTAAGTAAGTAAGTAAGTAAGTAAGTAAGTAAGTAAGTAGTAAGTAAGTAAGTAAGTAAGTAAGTAAGTAAGTAAGTAAGTAAGTAAGTAAGTAAGTAAGTAAGTAAGTAAGTAAGTAAGTAAGTAAGTAAGTAAGTAAGTAAGTAAGTAAGTAAGTAATGTAATGCATGTAATGTATGTACGTATGTATGTATGTGTGCATGCATGCATGCATGCATGCATGCATGCTTACATACATGTATGCATGTATGTATGTAATGTATGTATGTATGTAATGTATGTATGTATGTAATGTCATGTAATGTCATGTAATGTAATGTAATGTAATGTACTGTAATGTATGTATGTATGTATGTATGTATGTATGTATGTATGTATCCTTGCACTTCCCCTTTGCTCCCCAGTATTTCCCGCAAAAAAAACACGGTTTTTCCAGCGTTTTCGCAAAGAGGACGTCCAAAAACATTGAGTTTTTCCAGATTTTCGGCAAAAGGATGCAGGAAGCCCAAGCCAGCAAAAAAGCCGGCAGGGGGAATCGAGCCTGGGACCCCTGTTTTGCGACACCGGCTCCCCGAAGACTACGTTTAGTGGAACGTCATCAAATTGCCGCGCGGTACGTGGGGAACCGGGTGTGTCCTTTGTTTTTGTGTATCTTGGGACCTTCCACGATGGCTCCTGTTTTCCTTTTGGTTTCCCCTTAACGCCACCAAGAAGGGGTTCCTTCAAAAAGACACTCTCGTGGTTTCAGGGAAGCCCCCAAAACGTCCACAACCAAGAGAACCCTTCAAACACCAGGACAACTTACCTGGTAGCTGGGGTCCAGTGGACAAATCATCAGGTTGAAACGCACTCTTTGTTGCGCTTGAAAAGGGATTTCCAAAGGAAACCTGTCAGATTTTTAAGGGCTGACGGGGTTCCCCTTCTTTTTTGTGTGTGTTCGTTTTAAGATCCCCAAAGGGGAAGGGATGGGGGGTCCAACGGCGCCGACTTTCCCAATCCGAAACAAACAAACACCTGGATGCTTTTTGTTTGGTGGAATGGACGATGAAGGGGTGTTTTCCGAAGGAGAAAGCCTGGATGTTGTCTTTAGGCTTGGATTTCAGGTTTCGCTGAAGCAAATTGATATGCTTCTATGCAGGTTTTACTGTCTTCCTACCTCTGTTTTTCAGTTTCCCGCAGCTTCTTTCCAGACTTTTTTACATGCTTGTGTCATGTACAAAACGGTTTTCCTCTTGGTCCCCCCCAAGAAAAAAGAACAGACACCACAAAAAGCAGAAAGAAGCCGCACAAAAAGCGGGTCTAAACCTCTTGGTTTCCCCCTTATTTAAAAAATGAAAAAGAAAACACCCACCATGGTTGTTGTTGGGAAACATTTCACCTTTTTGCTTATTGTGGTTGAGTGGTGGAGATCCCACTCCACTCTTTTTTGACTGCCATTTTTTGGCTCCCCTTCCAACCGTGTCCACCAAGCCCAACGGTTGCTTCGCCAGCGCCTCAGCGCCCCCCCCCCCCCTCCAGCGCGGCGGAGCGCCCGAGCGAGCGCTTCGATAGCAGGTGGTGGCCTTTACTGCGGCGGGGGACCAGCGCCTGGAGTTGAGCGCCCTGAGCTTCGCCTACGAGTGCAAGGCGCGCTCGCACGCTCTTCGATCAAAGCGAGTCGAGGGGAAAAGCTCGGCTTGTTGGGCGGGTTTTCGCGCGCTTCGGTTTTCTTTGGGGGGCCGAGGGAAGGGGGAGTGAGAAGGAAGACCGCTTGGCAGT